TGACAGCAGCTAACAACAAATGACTAAGCATAGAGCTGTTGCTTTCCCTCTGTTACAGCACCAGCTTCTCCTCCTTTTTTCTCCCCTCTACCTATCTCAGGTGGGCCTTCATCATCCCAGCCTGGGATTGAAGCCCTGTCCTTACTTTCCTGCCTCCAGTCTTGCCTCATGGATCCATCTTCCTCACAGTAGATGAGGTACCCTTTCTAAGACACACCCTGACCCAGCCAGTCTCCATGTCCTGGATCTGACATGGGTCTCTTGCCCCAAACAAACCCCAGCTTTCCCTCCACATGCCAGGTGGTCACTCCTAAGCTCCATCAGAGCCACATTCGCCGAGTCCTTATTTCCCAACCCACTGGCATCACTCTGGGGTCATGGACACTTGCTGATTCTTTTTTCTGAAAGTAACCCTGAGGTCTGAAAATGATGAGTTGGGCGTGTTGTAGAGTGGGAGCTTTAGGGGAGGGGTGATATGTGAGATGCCCTGAGTGGGATCTACTCTTGCATCCTTTTCATGGCCAAATCCTTCTCACCCTGCAGGGCTTGGCTGGATGTCACTTCCTCTGGGAAGCCTTTCCTGACCTCCCAGGCTAGAGGGCACCCCCCAACCCAACATCCTGTGCTTCTGTTATCCTTAGTTCTCCTCGTTTTCATCACAACCACCACCACCACCACTGCTGTCGAGTTGATGCCAACTCATGGTGACCCCTTGTGCCATCAGAGTGGATCTATGCTCCAGAGTATTTTCACTGGCTGATTTTTTGCAAGTAGATCACTAGGTCTTTCTTCTAAGGTGCCTCTGATGGACTTGAACTTCCAACCTTTTTTTTGGTCAGCAGCTGAGCGTGTAAACCTTTTCACCACTCAGGGAGCTCCTTGCTCTATAGTATCATGTTTATTTATTCTTGATTTCTTCACTTGAGGACGAGAGCTTTGTATTGTTCATCACCATAACCCCAGGGCCTGGCTCAGAGCAGAAATTTCCAGAAAGTTCTGATAAATACACTATCATATGAGGTACAGTAAAAGAAGATTGGTCCCAGACACACCTGGTTTCTTAGAAGCTGTGTGACCTTGGGCAACTTACTGAACTGCTCTGACTCAGATACCTCATCAGGAAAAATAAATCCTGTTCAGCATCCTTGAGGAAGTTTTGTGGGATTACACAAGGCATCATTCACAACACTGCTCTCTAAGTGAGAAAGTGCCCCACAGGCCAAAGATGTTAAAAGTTCCCTATGTGGAAGAGGGACCTCAAGCTCAATTGGCATAACATACTACACAAAAACATTGTTCCACATCCTACTTTGGTGAGTAGCGACTAGGATCTTAAAAGCTTGCAAGCAGTCATCTAGATGCAATGATAGGTCTCTCCTCATCCAGAGCAAAGAAGAATGAAGAAAAGCAAAGACACATGGTAACAATTAGTCCAAGCAACTGGTATACCATGCCATCCTCAGCTTATATGACTATGAGACCAGAGGAACTAGATGGTGCCCGGCTACCACTGTCAACCACTCGGAGGGGGATCTATTTAGGAGATCCTGGATAGAGTGGGATAACAATGTGGAACAAAACTCAAAATCATAAAAAAAAGGGGACCAGGTTTGCTGGTCTGATAGAGACTGGTGGAATCCCTGAGAATATGGCCCCTAGTTGCCCTTCAGGTCTGAAATTGAACCCACTCCTGTGGCTTCCAGACAAACAAAAGACAGGCATATGAGCTGAACATTTACATTAGGTAGATACACTCCTTGAAGAGATAAATCATGGGAGAATAGAAGGGCTGTGTATGCACAGGGAGACAACTTGGGGGGCAGGTATGGGGAGGAAGCGGGAAGAGAGCTGTTGCACTGTGGGAAATTGCAGTTAATGTCATGAGGTAAAGTGTGTGTGAACTGCTATATGCATAATGAATTTGCGCTGTAAACTTCCACCCAAACTAAAAAATAAAAAAAAAATAAAGTTCCCTGTGTGGAAGAGTGTAGCTATTGCCACTAATGAGCTGCAAGACATGATGCCTGATCTCTGCTCTCTGTGCCTGCTTTCCATGAGCACACTGGGATTGACAGTGCCAAAGCTGTTGTGAGCATTTGGTGAGCTAACAGGGGCAAAGGCAGCTACAGTGCTGCCCAACATTCGGTACATGGAGAGCCCTTCGCCCCTCTGCATCCTCGCATTTTGTCAGACCCTGTCCCACTGGGAATGATGACCACCGTACGTTTCTGTCTCCTCCACTGCAGTGAGCCCCCAGTGGGCTGGCAACAGGCTTTATCCTGTAGCGCCTGGTGAGAAGCATGGGTAAACAACTCCAACAAGGGTAACAGCTACCTTTTTTGAATACTTACTCTGTGCCAGGCACTGGTCTATAAGCTTTATGTAGACTACTCATTTCATCCTCAGAAAAACCTATTAAGCAGGTAGTATTATTGTCCCGTGGCTGTGATGATGGGCTCAAGTATAGCAGGGATCATGGAGCTGGCACGGGAACGGGCAGCGTTTCGTTCTGCTGTGCATGGGGTCGCTATGAGTTAGAAACAACTCGACAGCACCTAACAACAATAACATTATTGTCCCCATTTTATAGGTGAGATAACTGAGGCCCAGAAAGAATAAATAATTTGCCTGAGGTCGTGCAACTAGTAAGTGGTGGAGACAGGATTTGAATGGCAGGCTCAGGAACCCATGCTCCCATCTTCCACACGACAGTCTTTTGGATGGAAGGGTCAGAGGTGAGTCTTGGCCTGCAGGAAGTGAGGCTGTAGTCCCAGGTGGGCTGTGCTTCACTGGGTGTGTGGATAGAGAGTCTGGTCTTCTTTGATCCTAAACCCTGTCTCCAGGAGGAAAACCTCTGGAGTTGCAAAATAGAATGGAAAGGCAGTGGCCAGGCCACTCAGGGGAAGAAAGGACTAGCAATCTGTGTCAAGTGGAAAAAGGAAGTGTGAGTGTGTGAGTGTACTTGAGGGACAGCGTATACTCAGTATGTACGTGAAAGAAGCAGTACCTGGATTCAAACCCAGGCTCTGTGTCATGGACTGAATTGTGTCCTCTAAAAATATGTGTCAACTTGGCTAGGCCATGATTCTCAGTGATTTGGCAGTTACGTCATGAGGTAATGTAGTAGTTATGTACTGATCCCCCATGATGTGATCTGATGTAATAAATCAATCAGTTGTAAAAGGATTAGGGTGGGATGCACCATCCTTAATCCTGTCAGGGCCCTGATCCTATGAAAGGGGACCTTCCCTGGGGTGTGGCCTATAATACCTTCCATCTTACAAGAGCTCAAAGGAGAGAGAAGTGAGTAGGGAGGGAGGGACCTCCTACCACCAAGAAAGAAGAGCTGGGAGCAGAGCGCTTCCTTTGGACTCAGGGTTCCTGTGCTGGGAACCTCCTAGGACCAGGAGACACAAAGAGAGAAAGCCTTCTTCTTAGAGCCAGTGCCCTGAATTAGGACTTCTAGCCTCCTGAACTATGAGAATAAATTTGTTTGTTAATGCCATCCATTTGTGGTATTTCTGTTATAGCAGCACTACAGAACTAAGGCACTCTGCAACAGACAAGCTGTATGACAGGCTATGTGACCTGTGCCTCAGTTCTCTCATCTGTAAAATGGGACAGTGATAGCACCTATCCTTGGGTTGCTGAGAGACTAACAGAAGACAGTGCTTGTGGAGCACAGTACTTGGCACACAGAGAAAGCGTTCAACCCGTATCAGGTGTTATTGTTGTCAGTAAATGGATATATATGGCATGTGCAAGTGAATGAGGCATTGTGGGTATGAGTGTGATGCGTGAGTCTGTAATTGAGAGGTTCCAGCCTGGGCAGGTCTGTTTCTTCAGGTGGTGTATGTGTAAGGATGACTGAATTGGCGTGAGGAATGTTGGTGAGCATGTATATATGTGTGTGTCTGTGTGCATGCCTGAGTGTGTGCATGTGCAGGGGGCGTGTGTTCAAGAATGAGTGTATGCACACGTCTTGGAATGCATGTACAAGCATGTGTACATCTGTTACCTCTTCAGGTGTGTATGCCAGTCTAAGCAAAGTGTGCATATATGTCATAATGGTGCTTGTGGGTGCACCTGTGGGACTGAGTGTGCCCATGTGTACATCACCATGGCTAGAGGGCATCCCCTGAGCACCATTAGCAGGAGATCAGGAATCGCATGATGCATGGCTTAGGGTTAGGACTTGGGGTCCCGATCTCAGCTCGGCCACATCATAGCATTGTGGCCTGGAGCAATCATGTCCCCTTTCTGAGCCTCATTCTCTCTCTGTAAGACAGAATCTACCTTTAGGATGGCTGTGGGGAGAGGAGAGAGAGAACATCAGAGCCCCTTCCCCACAACTGCAGCAGGCATGGGGCATATGGTTACTTACTGCATGTTCACAGAGGAGGAAGAGTCTATTGGAGCTGCTGCCACAAGCAAAGCTGCCATGTAGGACCCACCAACATGGCCCTGGGGTGTGTTCTGGAACATGGCAGCAGTACAAGACTTAGGATACCTTCATGTACCACATCATCCTTATTTAATGGATGTGGGCACTGAGCAGGGTGGAAGAGATGGCTGTGAAGGGCAAGAGGCTGGATTCTGGGGTCAGGCAGACTGTCTCCTGGGGGATGCTGGATGAATGGCTTCTCTGGCCCAGCCTTCTTGTCTGTAAAATTGGTGCTCCACCAACCTCCTGGGCTGCACTGAGAAGGACTGTACTAATGCAAGGAATGCTCTGGCTTTTACTCCTTGCTCATTTACAGTGAGTCCCTCCCCAGAGCATGGGACTCAACCTGAGGTTCTTAGTCCAGCGCATTGTCAAAACCGTAGCTGCTGCATTCAAGGAAAATAACAGAGTAGCTGACTGATGAAGCAAAGCCTCAAATGGAGCGGGTGTCCTCTCCAAAAGACTCTCTCTGTGCCCAGAGAGAGCACAGGGCACCAGTGACACAGCCCCTCCACACCCACCCCTGACCACACCGCCCTGCATGTTCCCTGCTCACCTGTAATGTGTCCCCAAAGGAGAGCTTGTGGATGACATGTGTCATGTCCGGGTTCTGTGGCTGGGCTGTAGCACTGTGTGTGGACACATGGAAGTTGCCCGGGACCTGGGGAGAAATGTAGGGTTCAGGCGTTTGGCTGACTACCCTAGGTGGTAGGGTGCATGGCTGGGCGTTGGAGAAGGCAGACCTGTGTTTGGATATTTCCCAGATGTGTAGCACTGGAGGAAATCACTGCCCCTCTCTGAGCCTCAGCTTCCTCATCTGTAGAATGGGGCAATTACAGTAGATACTCAGAGAGGTGCCTGCAGCTACCCAGTGAGAGAACATATGTAAAGCGCCCAACCTGTGACTGGCAGCTGGTTGCCATTGACCTCTATGGATTCTGGGCCCAACAGTGGGTTGGTGGATGACCTTTGGGCCTGTAGAACCAACAGGAGCTTCCCTGAGCTCCAAACCAAGATCATACCCTTACTCAACTTTGCCTCATCACGCTAGACTGGGATCCCCAAAAGCAGGACTGCGAGAGCCTCATTTCTTCCCTGGGCTTGAAGGCCCTTGCAGAGCCTAGCCTGTGAGAGGTGTTGAATGAACATCTGTGCTATGAATGATGCTGATAGTAACAGTGTACCAAGAGCCCCCAAGATTCTCCCATGCCTCCCTGCATCAACAAAAGCATCCTCCAGCTGCTCCATCCTCCATCTCACCAGTTGCTCAGACAAAATCCCTGGTGTCATCCTGGACTCCTTTCCCTCTCATACCCCACATCCTGCCAGCTCTACCTTCAAAAGATACCTTTTGGACTCTCCTCAAGCCTCCACTGCTCCTCTGGTTCAAGGCCCTCTCTTGACTGAATACTGGCAGCAGCCTCCTCACTGACCTCCCATCTTCCACCCTTGTCCCCCACCCCAAACCTTCCCTCAACAGCAGCCAGAGGGATGCTTTCAACTTCTTTGTTTGACCTCATCATTCCTCTGCTCAGCACCCTTCAAGGCTTCTGCTTCTTTCTGGGCAGAAGCCCAGGTCCTCACAGTGGCCCCAAAGCCAGGTGTGTTCTGGGCATCTGGACACTCCCTCTGCCCTCATCTCCTATGCTCCCTCCTCTGAGTATTCTCCTCTGGTCACACTGGCCTCCTGTGTTCCTTGAGTGGTGCCCAGCATGGCCTCCTCAGGACCTGTGCACTTGCTGCTTCCCCTTCCTGGAGACTTCTTCCACATGGTGCTCCCCACCTCCCTCAGGCCTCTGCTCAAGTAGCACCTTATCAGGGGGCTCTCCCTGACCTCCCTGTCTGAAAGAACACCCTCCCCACTACTCCCTCTACCCTGCTTTAATTTTCTCCAGATCACTGGCATTGCCTGGTATCTTTTTTGTTCTCATCTGTCTCTTCCCGCTAGAATGTGAGCTCCACGCCAGGAGGGATTTTTTTATCCGTTTTGTTCCCTGCTGTATTTCCCAGCCCAAGGCACATAGCAAGTGCTCAATAAATATTCGCTGAATGAATGAATAGCATTTAATCCTTAAGACAGACTTTTTAAGTTAAAAAAACTCAAAATTCACTGCCACTGAGTCGTTTCCAACTCATAGTGACCCCTCCTTGGGTTTCCGAGGCAGTATCACTATGGAAGGTAGACTGTCCAACCTTCCTTCTGAGGAAGAAGTTAGGTACTTGATAATTCTCATTTTACAGAAGAGGAAACCGAGGTTCATAGCAATAAAGAAACTTGCTGAGGTTACACGCCAAGTAAGCTGCAGAGCCAAGGTATGAACTCATGTCTAAAGCACTATGTGAAACACCCTCCCACTGGTGCCTGGAGATCATTTGCTGTAGGAAGCTATGGGGTCAGTTGTTCAGGAGGTACCAGATATGGGGAGATGACCCAGATAAGAGCCTGGCCCTGGGTAAACCCCAGGGCCTGCTGCAACAGACTTGGAACAGACAATAGCCCGAATGATCCACCCGAGGCCACAGGGATGCATAGACTGTGTGGACCATGGAGGGGGCCCCCAACTTAGTTGGCATGTAGGGTGGGTTCAAAGAGGGCATCTCAGGGGAAGGACACACTAGACTAAAACTCCAAAGGTGAGTCTCCAACAGCCAGGAAGAGGGGGATAGGCATGTGGGCAGAGGGAACAGCAGGATTAAGTGTGGAGGCCAGAATCTGCTCAGAATGAGGGTGTATTTAAGAAACTGGAAGAACCTGATTTTGCTGAAGCCCTGAATAAAGGAGGGGTGTGAAGTGTGGGGGGTGGCAGAAAATGAAGAGGGTAAGATGGAGGTGGGAGAATATAATCAATGTCACTGAAGTAAACATGTAGAAATTGCTGAATTGGCATATGTTTTCCTGTGTATATCCTCAACCAAAAAGAAAGTAATTAAAAACAAAAAACAAAACAACAAAAAATAGGGAGGTGGGGCAGTATATTGAGGGTCCTGAATGTCACACCAAACAACTCAGGTCTTATCCTGTACCAGCTCAACCAAGATTCTGCAAGCTGCCTGATAGGAAAGACTATACCCTGGGGCCTAGCATGTGGTGTTTGACCAAAGTCCCCTTATTTTTCAAGTATGTCTGTTTCAAATGCAGAAGGTGGTAGCCTTCTTGCAGGAATATTCCTGTCTTCACAGAGCCTGGGGTCTGGACTAACATAGTGGTACCAAGCAGAAAAGGGCCTGGTCTCAGCCTTAGTGAGCTCACAGCTGAGTGTGTGGGAGCTGGCTCAGTGGTCACAGAGGAAGGGACAATCCACTGGATCTGGAGTAGGGCAGGAAGGACAGCTTGGCAAGAGGTCCCTTAAGGTTCAGCAACTGCTTTGGGACCTCTGAGTTCCACATATGGGGCTCAAGTCTAGCATCCCTCCTAGCTGGGGAACCTCAGACAGGTAAATAACCACTTTGTGCCTTGATTTCTCCATCGGCAAAAGGGGGATAATTACCACAAAAGGTTACTGGGAGTATTAAATGAGGTGATGTGTACAAAGCAGTTGGCTGTTGGTATTGGGCTGGGTTGCAGAATGAACACAAGTTTGTCAACACAATAGCAAAGGGTATTCTGGAAGTAGGAATGGCATGTACAAAGGCAGGGTGCTGGGGAAAGGCCCACTTTATTTACTTGCTCATTCAGTTTTACTTAGATAAATAACACCTGGATACATTTTCCTTAAAAAAAAAAAACCACATGATACAGTTAGAAGTAAGGTCCCCATTGACTACCAGCTGTCCAGTGTGTGTCCTTCTGGGTCCTTTCTATGCAGTGACAAGGGGCCTCCTCTCGATTGAGCTCTGAGCAGAGTTCAGAATCGGGTGTGGGGCTTGGGCCTCATGCTCCCACAGCTACATGAGTCAAGGCACTAGCTCCCATGCACCTGCCCCCCGCTGGCCAGCCCCTTGAGGCTGTGACTCAGTAACCCACTTCCCGCTCCACACTAAATCCATCACAGGTGGCTGACTCATGCCAGCACAGCCTGGGCTGAATAAAGACAAAACAATGTTTGCAGAGCCTGTGACTTAGAAACCTACGTCAGCACCTCCGAGGGGTTTTAAAAACATATAGATTGGAGCCAGGCCCATGCCCTTCTCCCATTCTGCCCTCCTTCCGAGCACTGGGTGATAGAAGCGAGGTCACCACGTGGTGTCCACCAGGCTGCCGGGGGCTCCTGTGCGGCTCACAACATGCAAACTCTGACTTTCTGATGTCTGGATAAGGAGCCGCAGGGTGAGTCTGAGTCTGAAGCTGGGAGATACAGAGTGGGAAACAGCTGCTGACCTCCATCACTACAGCATGCTGTCACTGTGGGCTTCCTTATCTGACCATCCCTTTACTGGGAATTCTTTGAAGGCACAAACCCCTATGAAGGCAGAGAGGGGCGTCTCCACTCCCTGTTACAGATTGAATTGTGTCCCCACAAAATATATATCAGAATCCTAATTCTTATACTTGGGGAGGTACCCATTTGGGAAAAGGGTTTTCTTTGTATGTTAATGAGACCAAATCAGTGTTGGGTATGTCCCAAACCTATTCACTTCTGAATTACAAGGACACATAGACAAGGAAGCACAAACAGGAGAAATTAGATGCCATGTGGCAATTTCAAGGAATTGTAGAATGTGTGGGCCGCAGAAGCTGAGATAAGGATCTTCCTCTACAGCTGACAGAGAGAAAGCCCTCCCCTAGAGCCAGTGCCCTGAGTTTGGACTTCTAACCTCCCAAACTGTGAGAAAATAAATGTCTGTTCTTTAAAGCATTAAATTCTGTTACAGCAACAATAGGAAACAGACACTAAGGGTAGGGGGTAGAGGGCGGTCTTAGCCACGGCCTGGAGTCTACAGATACAACCAGTTATGGTTGTGATGGAGATGTTGGGCGAGAAGCCACAGTAGGCAGGGGGTGAATGGGCTGCCTGGCTCAGGTCCCAGCTGCGTGACCTTGAGCATGGCGCTTAATCTCCCTTGTCAATTTCCTGAGAGCAGCTGTGAGGATGACATACATGAACTAACACACGTAAGGGCCAGCTGGGCCCCCATCAGTGGTAGCCATAGGCAGAGCTGGTGTGACCCTTTCAGAATCCTGGTCCCTTTCAGAATCCTGGACCCTCTCCTGACCAAAGAAGCCCCTCTTTCTTGGGCATCATCCACACATACTTTATGAATGCACTTGGACCTAGCATTTGGTGGTCGGGTTAGTGGGTGAGGCCATGGGAATGGTCCACTAAAGGGGAACAAAGATGACCTGCAAAGGGGCACTGATGCCTGTCCAATCCTGACTGTGCTGGGTGCTTGACGGACTTTACTCTGTTCATGCCTCACATCTGTGCTATTGATATCTTTTTTTTTACAGATGATGAAACTGAGGCTCAGAGAAGTAAAACTGCTCAGTCACTCAATTGCTGAGGGTCACAGCCAGGGTTTTGGACCATAGGTCTGTGACCCACAATAGCAAGTTCTCTGCACTGCTCGCACCACGTAGCCACTGGCCACCCAGTTCACCCAGAGCAAAAAGGCCATCTGAGGGGGCAGGCTGCAGCCTTGGATATGTTTGCGGAGTAGTGGATGAGTGTAGTCGCTGAGTTGTCTCCTGGGTATTCATTCTGTCTCCTGTGCCCACTCTGG